CCAACTCACCATGCTTGGAAAGCTGAGCGTTTGATTCATCGAACTTGCTGTTGAGAGCAGAAATAGCCTCAACGTTGGTGTGTACATCATCTTGCACCGTTGAAAGTCGTTCCTTCACGTCATTAACGTTACCTTTGACAACTGAGAGGTCAGAGGAAATGTCATCCCTGAGAGGCATGCCTTTTTTGACTTGATCCATTTGGATTAAGACAGTCTCTATGGTCGGGAGAATTAGAATTTAATAAGTTCTTGCCAATAACCACGTCCACTGAAGAGAAACTCTATTATAGCCATTTCTGTACATTCAATGTACTCTATGGCTTCACGTCATCAGCCATGTTATAATCTTCTACCATGGCTGGCGTTCCTTTATCCAAGGACCTGAAAATGAAGATGGTTGAGCATAAGATAGCTCGGGGTTAGAAGAAATGAAAGGGTAGATTAGAAGATTACCTGAGGGTTCATCAGCACCATCTGAAGGATTGATGATGGTTCTCTCCAGGTTTTCTTCGTGAGGATAGGCTTCCATTAACTGAGGTGTTCCGAGAAGAACAACATCAGGTCCTGTGGTGAGTGCTTCATCATCAGCAAGGACAATCACTAATGAGTCACGAGAACGAGGAGAGGATAAGATGGCTGAGAGTGGTGGAAGTGGGTGTTCAGCAGTGTCTATGCTAATATTCACACTTTCATTGATTTGGGTCACTAAGGCGGTTGGGAGAGGAGCCACATGTACGACAATGACTGCATAAATCACTAAAGAGCTTGGAGAAGATAAAGCTGAAGGTGCCTCGGGGTAAGGCAGGTTTTAATAGCTGGAACCTTTTGAGAGGTAACAGCCAGAGATGTGGTTATCCCCTTTTTGGCTTTCTTGGCCCTCGATGGAGAACCAAGAGTGGTCTGTGAGGAGGATCTTTTAGAAAAGAGGGTGGTGATGGTTGGGATAGACTCTAGGGGGTTTTCCTTAGTCTTGACCACCGGAGCAAGGGAAGAAAGACATACCGGCACAGTTGGAGAAGATGAAGAAGTATATACAGGCACAATCACAAGGGAGGAGAGTGTAACATTGTTAGCTCCAATATTTACTTAATGTAAAAGTATGAAAAAGTATTCTGCAAGTATTGACAGAAGGGTATCTTCCACATAAGACAACAGAGGACCATCAACAGAAGCTGTTTGATCGTGCAAGTCAAGAATGACAGAACCTCTGTTGTCACTCACAGAGGTTCTGGAAAATGATCCTCTGGCAATAAGAACCTACCAAGTCTTCTACAGCAGAGCCTCTGAGCTGGCTCACAGAGGGTCTGCGGATTCGTCTTCTGTGAAGATCCTGTTCTGCTGTTTTTCAAAGGTTGTTAGTTGCACGTGCTTCTCACGTGACTAGGTCTTTAATCGACTTTACTTGGACGGCTTGGATGATTTCACACGTCTAGGTCATGTCAGAAAGATCGTT